CTCCTCCTCCTCCTCCTCCTCCTCCTCCACTACCACCTCCAACCACCCTCACCTTGAAGGCCATCTTTCCAGACCTTCCAATGAGTCTCAGGCCCCTTGCCCCTGCTCCACCGCCTTCTACCGCTCCCAATCCCCCAAACCCGAATCCGAATCTTCCCTCCGAACCCTCAGTCGCAGTACCGAAACTTCGGAAGGCATCCACAGCATGCAGTCACTGCAAACGCCAGAAGGCCCGGGTAATTTGCTTCCATGCTTCCATTTCACTGGCCCCGTTGTGCTGACCGGCCCTCCAAAATAGTGCCAAATACCTGACGGAGCCACGGCCTGCGAACGGTGCACCAAGCGGGATCTCTCCTGCATATTCGAACAGGATGAGGATATGCGGCGGAAGCTGGCCCACAAACGGAAGCTCGAGAAGCTCGAAGAGGAGCGGGATGTCTTGTTGCAGCTGGTGCAGACGCTGCAGGACAGCCCGGACGCCAAGGCGACCCAGCTGCTGAATCTCATCCGCAGCAAGGCGCCCCTCGGCGAGATCAAGCTCTACATGGACCACAACGTGTTGGACCGGGACCGCGAGACGACCCCGCTGCTGGCGGAGATCTACGAGCGCACCCACGGGTTGAAGGAGGACAATAAACGGCCCTCGTCCCATCAGGTACTCAACATCCAGCGCTTGGTCGACATCCCGGTCTACCGCGTGCCTGCCGCGCCTTGGACCACGGTCACGACCAATGATGAACTGGTGTCGCATCTGATCTCTCTGTGGCTGACCTGGAGCCATCCGTTCTACAACTGGATCGATAAAGAGCTGTTTCTGCGTGACGCGCAAGCAGGCAAGCTGGACTCGCAATTCTGCTCGCCGTTCCTGGTGAATTGTATTCTGGCGGAAGCATGCGTACGATGATCCACCTCTTCTTTTCTTTTGACTTCGTCTTTGCTGTACTAAGGACTTGTGGGATCAGTTTCATTCGGACTACCCGGAGGCGTATGCAGACCCCAATGATCCAGATTCCAAGGGTGTTCATTTCTACAACGAGGCGCGACGGATCTATGAGAAGATCGAAGGTCAGCTCGATTTACCGACCATGCAGGGGTGCGGCGTCTTGTTCGTATGGTGAGTATGATTACCCTATAAGTTTTCGAAGACGGTTTACTAAGATCTTCATCCTCTAGCATGGCGGCGATGGGCAAAGACCGTGTGGGGTGGTTGTACCTCGGCCACCTGCGCAGCATGGCAGAAGAATACACCAAGGAACATCCCCCGCCGCCAGCCGGGACGACTCCATCCCGGCCGGGAAAGTCGTGCGATTGATAATACCGTCTGGGGGATCTACAATCTTACTGCGTGCGTTCACTCTTCGAATATGACTCGTAGTGTCCTTTCCGATACTGACCATGGTCCTAGGACCGCCTCGATCTCGCTGATGAAGCATTTGGCGCTCGACCGGCCGAATCGACCGCTTCTTCCATGCGACCACTCCGCCGACGACACTTGGACGCCGTATCCGCGCCAGATGGATCCCGTTCAATCCCACATCCCCTGCGTGCTGAACAGCTTCTGCGCTCTGAGCGAGATCAACGTCGATGCCAACCGCAAGGTCTTTGCGAGCGGGCACAAGCCCCCTCGGGACGAGCTGGAACAGACCTTGCAAGACGTGCAAGCCCGGCTCGATGACTGGAAGAGCAGACTGCCCCTATGCCTGGCCCTGGATAACCTGAGCGTCCCGCAAGCGCTAAGCTTACAGTAAACAACCCCTCCCCTTAACCTAAGTTCCCCCCGACCACAAACCCACCACTAACACCCCCGATACAGCATGCTCTACCACACCGTAGTAATCATGCTCTGGGGCCTCCTGAAAAAGGACGACCCAGACATCGACCGGGACACCGACACGAGCTCCCACAAAATCCCGCGGGAGACGGCGCGTCAGACCTGCGTGAGCTCCGCCCTGGCCATCGTGGACCTCCTGAGCACGCACCGCGCCACCTGGGGCCCGGACTACATCTCGCCGACGACGATCCACTGGGTCAGCATGGCGCTGTTCACGCTGGTCGAGGAGCTGGCCGGCTCCCCGGACCACCGCAACGCCTTCACGGAGCTGTGCATGATCGCCCGCACCTTCGCCCGCAAGTGGACCCTCATGAAGGGCATCCTGCGCATGCTGCACGTCTCCGCCCAGAAGGACGGCGTCGCCCTGCCGCCCGAGACCCACGCCCTGTTCGTCGACTTCTCCGATAAGATGTGGGGCCGCGCCCAGCGCGACCGGTTCCGCAGTCTGTATCCGAATCCGAGCTCGTTGGCGGAGTCCGGTGGGGATCGCTCCAGGGAGGAGGCGGAGCTGAGTAGCTTTTTGGAGAAGTGGGATACGCTGGAGATTCGGGATGATGGAGGTGGAGAGGGGGAGGAGCGGGCTTAGATGGGCGGGTGGGACTGCGCGGGTCCTGGCATTGGTTTGGGCTTCTTTATGCTTGATATGATATATAATGATGCACGTTTTTGGGCTATTAGATCGCATACACGGGAGAAGTCATTTGTCGTCAATGTCCTCAACTCGTGTCATTCCAGGATACAAAGCACGGCTCTCAGCCTCATTTCACGGCTACCCCATCCCTCATAGCATCTCCTTCTCACCCTCCCCTCGCACCGACACCTTCACGAAAAAGTCCAACGGCTTCACAAACCACTTGTTATCCGTGTCCCACGTGCGGTTGACGAGGTGGAAGTCGAAATCCCGGACCATCTGCGGGATCAGCTTCGACATCTCGAGGATGGAGATGTGCTTGCCGAGACACGTGCGCGAGCCGAGGCCGAACTAGCATCGCATCAGTCATCAGTCATCAGTCATCTCACCGCGACCCGACTTCCACGAAAGGGAGAAAGCTTACCGGCATGTACATCTCATTCATCAGCTGCAATCGCGCCGGATCCCCCTTCTCCGCCTCGATCCACCGCTCGGGCCGGAAATTTCGGGCGTCCGGGAACACCCCCTCATCGTAGTGCGCGACCCAGGTGTTCACGCCCACCACACTCCCCTCGGGGAAATGGTACCCGCTGATCTCCGCCCCGCCGGCGGGCACCTCGCGCCACAGCGGCAGGCCCGTCGCGCTGTGCAGCCGGATCGCCTCCTTCATCACCGCCTGCAGGTACGGCATGGCCTGGCTTTCTTTGAAGGTCACGCGGGCGCTGCAGCGGTTTTGCTCCGTAAAGTCCTCGATCTCCCGGCGTAGACGCGCCAGCGTAGCCGGGTTGCGCAGCAGGTGGTACAGAATGGCCGACAGGCTGATGGCGGTCGTGTCGGAGCCGGCGATGATGTTGGAGTTGCCCATCATGAAGAGGTGGTAGTCGGTCACTTTCTCGGGGTCCTTGTCGCGGGCGAGCGCCATCTTCTCGAGGAAGTCTTGCGTCTTGAGTGGGGTGGTAGTGGTGATTTCGTCTTGCTGTGGGTGGGTCTTGCGTTGCTCGTTCAGTTGTTGGATCTTCTGGGACACAAAGCGCATGACGAAGGATCGGCCGGCGGGCCCGGAGGAGGTGAAGCGGCTGAGGGGCTCGTAGACGCGGGGGTGCCATTCCGGGTAGATGCCGATCAGCGTGCTGTAGGCCATCACCTTTTGGAGGGCGCTGATCGCGTCTTCGATGTCTTCACCTTGGTCGAGGAAGCCTTTTTTTTGTCGGGGTTAGTGGTTGCCTGACTGGAATAGGATGGTGGGCGTACCGAAGCGCTGGCCGAAGGTGATATCCCCGATTACATCAAAGGCGTAGCATTGCAGCCAGTGGTGCAGGTCAAAGGTTTGACCGCTCTGCGCGAACTCGGTAAGCCGGTCGCGGAAGAGGTCGGCGCATTGATCGGCGAATTCTTCGTAGTGAAGGAGGGAGCTCATGGAGTAGAGGCTGGAGAAGCGCTTGCGCGTTTCAGCTGGAGGAAATCACAGGGTGTCAGCAGACTGATCCTCGAGCCAGTACACCTTTGACCAACTTGCACGTACAGTGTCTCTTGATGTTGCGATCCGGGAACAACGTCCACCGATCAGGCGACGGGTGCTTCCAGCCTTCGTACCAGGCGGATTTGGGGAATCGGCTCCCCGTGCCGTAAACCGTCTTCACGGCGGAACGCTCGCTGATGCTGTAGTGGCCCGGGGCGATCCGCACGACAGGACCATACCGCGCATGCAGACTGAGATTGTCGGCCTCGAAGTGGCCTTTCCAGACTCGACTGAAGTACCAGAGTCGGGTGAACCGGGCGAGAAAAGGGCCCGGGATGGCGGTCAGGGAGGGGCTGTTCCATGTGATGTAGAGGAGCTGGAGGATGTTTTTGGTGAGGTAGATGAGGAATGGAAGGCAGACAAGAAGAAGGAGATGCATGGTGGTGGATTTATGGCGAAAAGAAGTGAAGTGCGATTGTTCGTCTCTTGGTTTGAGTATTGGCTGGGAAGCGATGTCATCTTATAACCCGTTTGCGGTGTGGAGCCGGTACAGCAGCTCATGTCAACCCGACGGTTAGTGCTGACACAGCTGATGGAGTTCAAAGCTGAGTGGCGTGGCTCAACCCATCATAGCTCAGTGCAAAGTAAAAATCAGCTCTGAGTTGTCTGTTGTCTCAAAAAAGGGGTCCAAGGGACGAGGTGGATGGAGATGGGCAGTCCCCGCATTGACAGTCGGAGAAGTGCGGGGAAAAGGCGGATTATCCCCAGCTTGTGTCCGAGCCTTGCCGCATAGCTTTCTTTTATGCTTTGTGCTTGTGCTTCCTGCCGATCGTCGGCTCCACCCTGCCTGTGTGTGGCTTATCCAGCTTAATTCCTGCACTGGGTTTATGCTCTACTGGCAGCATTTGGCAGCATTTAGACACTACTGTACTCTACTGCACTCTACTGCACTCATCGAAAAAAAAGTGACCAACTACCAAATCCAATTCAACCTATGACTCCATACCCAGTTTCAGTTTTATACATACATCGATAACGTCATTAGAAGCGCCACGCACACACCACTACCCACGCAACAACGAACTAAGAAACACGCCAAGAACCAAGAACAGAGAGGAGTCGTTGCAGCGCAAGTTATACGATCCACCCTCTTTAAAGGGATGAAGCACCCCGGACGAAGTCGGACCACCCACCATTCAAGACCGACGATCACCCCAGAGGCCAACGATACCCATCGCCAATGCCAGTCCCGAGAACACCGCCCGCACCTGCTGCAGCCGCCGCTCCGTGTTCATCTCCGTCCGCACGCTCTCGCCGTTCTCCTCCGCCTCGACCACCACCAGATCCTCCTGCTGCTTGAGAGCCGCGGCTTGGGTCCAGAACCCGGTGTCGTGCAGGACCGCCTGGAACCACGCCTTGACGCCCGCCTGGCGGTGGAACCAGAAGTCCATGCCGTAGGTGCCGATGGTCGAGGCCACGCACATCCAGATCAGGTACGGGTGTTTGCGGTGGCGCGGGGAGATGCTGTAGGCGAACAGGAGGCACCCGTTGGCGATGTTGGTGAGCCGCATGCCGTGCTTGCGGTTCAGGCGTTTGATCTCGCTCAGCGACCGCGAGCCGGTCGCCGAGGTCGGGAGCTGAGCCAGCGCGGGGATGGCGATCGTCGAGGCCGAGTACGAGATGCCCTGTGATGGTTGAGTCGTGTCAGCGTAGTCTTACAGGCGGCGGTGGGTGCGTGATGTGACAGAGACCCGGTAGGGGTTGGAGGGGAGGTGGGAGGATTCAACGCTTGGAGTGGGAGGATAGCGTGGCGATCGCAGCCAACATACCGTGAGCAGGCCGAGGGAGACAGTTCCCACAAACTTGGAGACGGTGATGGGACACGCCATGTTGATTTTGGGTCGGTGTCTATCTGTGCACACGAGAAATGGCAATGGCTATGGAGTTGTAACCAAACTGAATCGGATTGCGTCGGCGTGGATGAGGTTGGGCACTGTGCTCGATGAATTGCAACAGGTAGGATGGAAAAGGAAAAAACAATGACGGAGTTGCCCGGCCCTGCGAATGTGACGAGGCGGGTCCGGCCTTGGCGGCCTGAGGCTGATCCGTGCCTTATTAATGCCTGAAGGCAGCACTCTCATTGGATGATTGGTCTTTCCACTGGCACACAACAGCATTACTTGTTCCAATAAGAGACTTCTATACTCCCTGGTCTGATATGAAGCGTCCCCAGTTGAGACTCAAACATAAAGGGAAACCGCATGGATATTGTCGATTGAAACTACCTATGCAAAACTAATTAAAAGTGCGCTCGCCACGATAAAACTACACAGTGACGAATCGAACAGACTGGCGTATTTGAAGCCTCCCAATAGCCGGATATCGCAATTCCATCGTAGGACATTTCAAAAGCGTGGGGGAAAAAGGAAGAAAAAAGAAATCATGAGAAAAGGGATTTGCAAAAAGCTAACTTGAGCCTCCCCAATTGATGATCAACCCATCAAGTCCGCATCGCTTCTCTGGACGTGATACCAATAGGATCGCCCAGGTACCATTGTGCAAAGGTCTTGAACCCAGCAATGTTGAGAAATGTAAAGTCGTAGGGCTTAGTGTGGCGAATCAACAGTTCCTGGCCATCGAAGTATGCCTCCATAACCCGCGGATGCCGTCGGTTGAGCGAAAAGAGCAGAATCTATTATAATAAATCAGCTTTTTTTTTTTGTGCAATTAGGATGCTAAGAACAATATTTACTTACTGGTGCAACCATATCATTGACAAACACCGTTTGCTTGAGCTGGCCCAACATGGTCCGAATGATAGTCAATACTTCCCCGCAAAGCAGATGATTATCATCTACGTCGAGGTCGTTGTGCATGATACATTTCATATGCGGCTTGGAGGCCTTAGCAACATGGAGTATTGACAAGGTACCATATTCAGGTTCGAACGTCCGGTACAGATTGCGAATCTTGTAATCGCCGATCCTGGTGACACGGAATGGGTGAGTGATTAGATCCAAACATAGGGTACCTTAGTACTAGGGCTTACTATTTGCTTGACCACGTTCGTCAGACCTCTGGAAAGTCGACAATCATTTCGCTCACGTATGAATCGAACTAAGAGTAAATCAGTCGCCCACAGTCACTGGACCGGGTCAGCTCGTCAGTATTGTATTTTCTGTCGACATATTCTAGCGTTAGCTCTAGCATGTCACGAGGGGCAAGAGAAGTGAAAAGCTTTAGTGCGAGCGAGTCACCAGCATCAAGGCTTAGAGGTTGAAAGCCCGAACTCTGCACCGCTGCAGCACATTTCGGTCTAAGGTATGTATATTCTGCTCTTCCAGAGCCTTGATGTCCCTTTCAATCAGGAGGAGTGCTTTGCAGAGATTGAAGCGGTCACGGGGCTCAGTGATAGGTTCCATGACCACGATGTATGGAATGCCATGTAGTGATCAGAGTAGAGAGCTAGCCAGGGTGATATGAAGCAAAGACCTGCAGTCTTAAAATACTCGCAGCCAGGTCCGATTATGTACCTAGTAGCATGAAGGGAGTTACCTATCGGTTTGATCAAATGACCTTCAAGTTAGACCCCGGCGGTGAGTTGCTCAGCGGAACCTTCAACATAGGCGAATCAGTATGTCATTTAGTCTTTCCCGTGTTCTTCCTTTTCCATTCTTTTTCAATCTCCTTGCTCAATGGTCATCAACTCATTTGATGTTAACCACCCATAATAACCTTCTCCTTCACTCAAGATGCCTGGGCCTGCGAATGGGACGTTGCGGGTATGGCCTTGGGAGTCTGAGCCTGGCTTATACCCGCTTTCCAATCCCAATTATTAATGCCTAAAGCCCTGGCTCTCATTGGAGTATGGACACAGCCAAACAGCACTTCCTACATCAGTAGTAATGAAAGGCACAGTACAGCCTGTTTTTACTGCAATAAATCTCCGAATACTTGACCGTTCATAGAAAGAATGATTATTTTCTTATTCTGCGAGGGGTAACCTTTTCGGTGAGCACCGTTGTGGAAAAGATAGCCACAAAGGCTTAGACTGATGTTTGGATATAGATGCCAGACCTCACGCTAGTTCAAAATATGCACGCTCCACTTCAAACGACAACTACTGATTCAAAGAGACATCTTTTTTTTGATTGAGAGCGCGGACTTGCATGCCCTTCTACGTTTGGTGCACCAATGTAGTCCATTGTAGGCCTGTTGAGCTATAATGACTGTTTCACCTCGCATTACAAATTCGAAAAAGGGTCATTTGTCAACAACACACCATGTGATATTGTAGGTCTCGATAAGAACTTCCTGTCAATGGAGCAGTGATATCGGGCTTTTACGCGCATCTTTCATTTTTCGGTGCATGTCTTGAAAATCTTGATTTATCAGCAGTCTTGCCCGAGTTCCACTTTTAAACTATAAAAAGCTGCAATATAAGTTTCGAGCATGCGGCACTCGAGTGTGACCTCCTCTTACAACGTTTCTCCTTAAGCTCTATCTCTATCTATTCAAGATCAAACTTCATCATGTCATTTCCTGAGACCTACCTGGCGTTCCGCCGCACCGAAGGCACGGCGCCCTTAACAATCGAGCAGGTCACAGAAAAGCTCCCGCCCATCCAGTCGCACGACGTCCTAGTTCGCATCCATGCGGTCTCACTCAACTACCGCGACATTGCCATGCTGGACAACACCTATCCACAACCCTGCCTTCCCCATGGGATCCCCGCCTCGGATTGCGCCGCCGAGGTCGTATCCGTCGGATCCGCTGTCAGTGGCTTCAAGCCAGGCGACCGTGTTACCGCAATCTGGGACCTGACCAACGTGACCGGAACCGAGGAGCGGACTCCAGAGGCTCTTGGTGGGGATGTTGATGGTGTCCTGCGGCAGTATGCCGTGTTCAATGAACAAGTGCTTGTCCATTTGCCTGAGCACCTATCCTGGGAAGAGGTAGGTCACCGCAGATTGATACCAAGGTTGAACAATCCCGTAATGTTGATATAGGCCTCTTGTATCACTTGTGCCGGAACCACCGCTTGGAATGCTCTTGAGTTCCCTAGGGACAGTGGCACCGCTCTGCTCCAAGGTACGCAGCCTTTCTAATGGAGCGTTTGAAAAAGCACAGGCTAGATGCTGAATAACATGTTTAGGTACCGGCGGTGTGAGCATGTTCGCGCTTCTGCTCTGTATCGCAGCGGGTTTGCAGTCCATCATCACCTCATCTTCCGATGGGAAGCTCGACCAGGCTCGGTCATTGGGTCCCAACGTCAAGACCATCAACTACAAGAAAGTGGCCAAGTGGGAAGACGAAGTGCTCCGTCTCACCAACGGTCGCGGTGCCGATGTCGCCATTGAGAACGTGGGCCCTGCTACCGTGAGGCAAAGCCTTGCCTCTCTTGCCCAGCGGGGTACCTTGTCCTTGGTGGGATTTCTTGGAGGACTTGAGGCGAAAGAATTCCCCGATCTTTATCTCCCTGTCATGGTGAAGCGAGTGACTATGAGGTTTGTTCTCCCTCTGTTGAACGCATGAAGATGGATTCTGACGCAAATGCTTATCCCAGGGGTATCATTGTGGGTTCCAAAATCGACCAACAGGCCTTGTGTGACTTCTTGGCAGAGAAGAAAGTATCCCTCAAGCCATTGATTGATGCTGTCTTTCCTTTTGATCGGTCCAAGGAGGCGTTTGATCGCCTCAAGTCCGGAAAACACCAGGGGAAGATTGTCATCACCCTATAGTAGCAGGAGTATCGGGTGAAACCTTTGTATCCATGCGCAGAAGTAGAGTCAATTCAGTATCATGACCACTTTAGGCAATTGCCCCCTCTCACCGTGGACGGTTCCACTCTTCCGTACCCCATTCCGCTGCTAGCTTTCTCCCCCTCCATTCTCTCCAACTCACTACTCAATAATCATCAACTACTTGATATCTACCATCCAGAATCTTCTGCCTCTGCGGCATCATCATCTTCCCACTCTCTCGTGTCGGAGACTGAGGGTGTTGATGGCCGTGAGATGCTTGCTGCGACAGCCCGATCGGAAATGGTGTGCAGCGACAAGTACTGAGAGCTTAAAGTGATGTGCTGCTCCACATCAACTTGCTGGCGCAACCGCTTGGTGCTCTGGTCTGCACTCGTCAGCAGCACTTTAAATTGAGCTCTAAGCGAGTCATCCTGTACAATTGCATGTAAGTAATCGATGACGGTCATCAGTTCCTGGAAGCTCATGTGAAGATCTTTATCAAAGCAACACGCCGCATCAATGATACAGTATACGGTTACGTCTGAAGGGAATTGGCGAGCCAACTGATGCAGCAACACGCAGAGCTTGTGTAGGTCATGTTCTTCTAACTGCTTGAGCAAGGCTCTTGAATTGATGAAATCGATGCTCAGAAGGTCCCGGTGATGCAAGATCAGCAAGAGTTGACAGACGAGACTTCGAACCAGCCCGTTGGTTCCAGCCCAACGATCCTTCGATGACTTGGTACAATGCAATCCGCAGAAGAAGTGTATTACCACATCCTCCGGTCGGACTTCCGCCATGCTCAACACAAATGTTGCACAGAATACGGAGATGGGAGACACGTTGTGGAGTGCAAAGGATCGAAGGTTCGCATCGACAAGGAGTAGGTCTGGGTGTTCTTGATCCATCCAGTCCACAAAACGTACATTCTGCAACACGGACTGCGCTTGGCTTTGCGTCTGTGCATCGAATGTTGTTTTCTTTCCTAGGACAATCTCCAAATCGTCATTGGGCTGCCCGAATGCTGCACCGTAATCGGGCGGCTGGCCTCCACTCGAGGGCGATTGAACCAAAACTCCCAAGAGCCGGGAGAGGGAGATCACTGCCGCGGAGCTTCGTTCTTCCCTGCGAGGAGAGCCTTCAATCTCGGCAACATAGAGACGTTGCTGAAGCTGTAAGTTCAGGCTTCTCTCTTCTAAATGTTGTAGTCAGCTTTTGAACCAGGTTAGTTTGACAAGAATCGCTTACTCCTCCAATCCTCGAGCAAGAATTGCAACATTTGATTCCTAGCATCCTGGCTGTTACCCATCATCTGTGATTGGGTCTCTATGAAATGATTCAACCTCTCCTCCTCTCTTTGAATCAATTGGATGATTTCGAGGTGCCGTTTCTCCCCGGCCTCAATTCCCGACTTGACCTCTCTGACATTGATTGAAACGTTTTGCAGGATACCGTCCGTGTTCCGAGCAGACCTTTGGACCTCAGTCAGCCCACCGGATATGTCATTGATTCCGCTCTTCACGATCTGCACGTCTGCATTGATTTGGCGTGTGTTGATCTCCGCTTCCTTCTGGTTCCAACGCATAACATGAACCTCTTGATGCGTATCTCTTGAATATCGCTCGATCGCCTCTATATGTGTGTCCCGACATCTCTCAGCAGCGAGTGAGAGCATATTTGAAGCCTCCTTGACTCGTTGCAGTGCCTGTTCTGGAGATTCATCATGCTTTCGAACTTTGGAGTTTGATGTTATTCGGAAATGCCTCTTTTCCTTCATGGCCCCGTCGCGATCGAGAAAGTGTTTTGCGGGCAGAGAGTTGAGAAGAATCTCTATCGCATCGACGATGGCAATGTAAAGATCCTTTGTGTGTTGGCTCATCTCCGGGTCAGTTTGGAAACTTCGCCGTCTGCGGTTCATTTCCACGATAGCGATTTGGATTTCATGAAATGTGGTGATTATTTTTTGCCTTGTTTGTGCCGACTTTGCTGCTAACTATCTCAAGCAGTCAGACACGTACAAACTACATCTCGTTTTCTTACCTCCACCCGAGACTTACATTCAATGCAACCGCAAACCCGGCTTTCACAACAGCTAGTCCGTAGCTGTCAGGAATGATATTAATCCAAGGGTCGATCAGTTCCCTTTTATCCCCAAGTTTCAGCCATGCCTTAGAGAAAATTGCACGCGCGCCTTTTTCGTCGGCGGTTTGCCACTCTTTCTCGGCTTCGGTGACTCTGTCGAAGACTGCCTCCCAGGATGAACAATCATTCGGCTTTGCACCGAGGATTGTTTTAACGTGGTCCTGGAGTACAGCCTCCAGATTTCTGTAATCGATGTTAGTTACCGAACCTTGCCCGCCGGGAACTTTGCCACGGGTAGTGTCCAAAGATGTGCAGTCCGAGCTCTTTGGACACCGATCAGAGAAGAAATATGCCTACATGTATGGCTTCGCACTCTCAAACCGAGCTCGCTGGTCATTATATTCCGACCAACCCCCGAGCCCGTGGTGCACCTTCACCCCCTTGTCGGTGATAAACTTTGCTGTTGTTGCGGCTGCCGCGCCGCCAGCTCGGTAATGAGCTGCTTCCATCTGCAACCCACGAAGTTAAGGAGTATGGGTGATTTGCTTTGGTGCTCGTGGGGACTGGGAGAACGCAGCAGAGTCGAGAGATGGGGTACGCTCGCTTTCAATGCAGAAGACAACAGCGGGCTCAGCTTCTTGGCACTCCAATCCTTGAGGGTACAGCCACGAGTAAGGC